CTCGAGGGGTTGTTAAGTCGGGATACTCGTAAGTTATGGGTTCCTCTGCCGCCACCTCATTCACAGTACCATCTCTTCACAAATGCATTGCTTCAGGAATGGAGTACATATACCAGCAGTCAGGAATTCTAGGGTCTATGCACTGGTGATGAGGCTTCTTTCTTGCTCTTCACAAGGCAGTGCCTCATGGTCTGGGCTTATTATGGGGAAAATCTTCAGGCTTTACTGTGACAATTCTGTGGTGGTGTCTTGTGTTTCTCATTGAGGAGGCACTTTGTCCAGGGCTACTTGTTTTCTAATCATGGACCTCCTTTCTGAGTACCACTCCTATCATATCACTTTACTAGCACCAGATTGACAGTTGCACTCTGGTTTCTACTTCTGCTGTACCTTCATAAGTGTCAACCACTTCCACTTCTTAGGCCATCTCTGTGGAGGCAGCTATGATCTGACATTGGTACACCCGCTATACTATACAGAAGCTCAAGCTTCAGACGTAGAGGTTATGCAGTCTTTCGCACAGCATCAGGGTTTAATTTCTGAGGTTGCCATGTATCTATCTCAGTCTTTGCTTAGTCCTGCAATAGACATATATCAATGGAGAGAGAGAGGAAGTTGAACCCAGTTTGATCAAACGTCCCAACCATAACTCTCTTTTTGACCTGGTTCTTTGACAACAATTTTTCCATCTTCCACAATCGCTCTGCATAAGGCAGTCTTATCGACTACCATTTGATACACACAACAAAATATTCTTTGAGTCCCCAATACTCTCCAGATTCTTCAAGTCATTTTGGGTCCTTTGTCCCAAACAATCATTCCAGTTTCCTAACTGGTATATTAAGGTTACATTACATGCCCTTTCTCAACACCTATTTCTGAAGGTTTAATTTTAGTTGTTGCTGATCTACAGACATCACTGGTTGGAGTGGTTTGTGCTGTTGTCCACAGATTGCTTTATCTATTCTACTTACATCCTCAGACCAGTTCTTCTTACCAAAGACACTGTCAGACAGGGAAGGTGATAAATCCTTTACACCAATTTATGTAATAACTGTTTCTCACTTCTCTGACTGATCAGATTTTGATCATTGTTATGTTCAGTAAAGGTCTTGAAGGTTTTGTTGTCTGCACTAATGCCTTTAGAAATGCTACACAACAAATTTGTATTCTGGCTCTCTTTGAAGGTGAAGAATATTCTGTGAGTCACATCTAAACATATTTCTATGTCCTTAGTGACCCACTGTAGAACATTATATCACATTATTTGCATGATCTGGCAGTATCTTCATCTGAGGGTTTTCACTTACCCCCTGTAGCTATTTTAACCACTTCCACTAGATTATTCAGAAGGGTGAGTATTTTCATTGCTGTCTTTCAGGGTCCTTTACCTCGTTTTCACAGGATCTCGCTGTGGCAAGTGTTTCCCAGCCAGGTGTACCTTTATCAAACAAATTCTGCACTAGCAACTACTAATTCAATATACTTTATCTAGGTTGCAACAGGTTCTGTAAAAATGAGGTGTTCCATAAGACCACCTAGAGGCTGACTGGGTGGTATTACTGTACTATGCTGGACCACCACTCATGGACTATCATGAGTAAAGCATAAGGGGATCCTGCCCATCCTTTCCAATCATTAGATTGAATAGGTCTGGATTGGTTTGGTTTTAAAAATGTAGGAAACTTGGTTCACTTATTTCACTGTTTCTCTGGACTACCCAATGTCATTACCCCCAGACTCTACTAGTGGAGCTAGAGAGTCTTTATCACACCACGTTTTGTGTCACTGGGGTGGTGGACAGAGGCTTTTCCTCCAGAGTGAATTCTTCCACTCTTAGAGAAGAGGGCAAAGTTGGGGACTCTCTATCTGGGTCCCTGAATGTTTTTTTTTTCCAGATTTCAGTAGGAGAGGCACCAGCCTATGCAAGAGCCTACTTATAATACCAGATCAGTTTTGGCACTCAGCTATCTGGTTGGGTTGAGCATGTCGCTTCTTTTTGATCAATATTGGTTCAGTACATTGTTCATGTAAGAGGATCCATTGTCTCCTTGTAATTCTGACTCCAGAGTGTTCCCATCCTGGGTCCTTAGTTGAGCACAGTTTGTTCCACATCCTCCCCACAATTCTGGGGGCAAGTGGAATTTACCATACAGTTGGGGAGTGAGGATGAGTGTTTATAATTCCAGACCAGCTGAGTTCTGTTTCCTCAGGTTGAGTAAGGCATACATTATCCCATCATTCCAAGCCTGGGATGTTGCCTTTTAGACTTCTTCAGGCTGAGGAGATGGTATGTCCACTTCATTGTTGCTCATCGTGATTCCAGTGTCCTGGAACACATCACTCAATGGCTACAGGTTGGGATCCACTCATGAGTGTGTGTATATATATAGATTGTGGTCCAATATGGGATATAGGGACCATGGCCCTATAATTCCAACCCATATTCATGGAATCTTGGCTATCTGATTGGGGCCTGGCCAATAATGATGACAAATCACGTAATATTCCACCCACAGTACATGAATTAAGTTCAGGTTGAAGATCATTCCTTTTCTGGATGTAGTGCAGTCCCCCCCCCTCCCACTAGGATGTCAATCTTCTATTGCCACACCCATGATCTAGGCAGACATTTTCTGTGTGGATAATGCCCTCACCAGCCCCTCCACCTTATCAATGTGGGATTCTAACTGTAAGTGTCAGAGGAGGTAAGTATGTTTTGGAAATTAACATTTTCTTGAATTGAAAATGTATTTCCAATAATACTTACCTCCACTGACACTCTCCTGCTCCTCTTTCCTGCTAAAAGCCATGTGTTAGATTAAGTCAGTTTTGAAAAAGTAATAACGTTATCTGGATGAGGTGCTTATATACAGTAACAGGATAGAGTGCACATTGACATTGGTGGAGAGTGTCACAAGACAAATATTGCCAAGGACAATTAAGTGTGGGTATAAAAGACTGGAGCAAGTGAGAAAAAATCAGGCCAATGCTTAGATGGGCAAAGGTACAAACCCTGGCAGTCAAGTAATAGCTGTAAGTGTGAGTGGGGTATATATTATTGGAAATACATTTTCGATTCAAGAACTTGTTAACATCCCTAAGTAAATCATTAAACTTTTGTTTATGTGTTATTTATATCACAATAAAATTCTATTGAAGTAATGTAAACATATAAGTGATTCTAAATGTAATTTGGCCATTATTCAAAACATCATATCTTGTGATGCTTCTCATTGTTCAATAAAGACATTCTTTTAATGATTCCATTGGTTAATATAGGAATCAAAGACTCAAGCTGTGATATAAGAGGTTTGGTGCCATGCCAGGATTATCGTTTTCGTATACGTGTTGAAAATAAATACGGCACAAGTGATTCTTCACCTTATGTAACAGCACATCGCAGCAAACTTGAACCACTAATACCTGCTGATTTCAAACCTAAAGACTTTAAAATTGAACATCCTCCATTGGAAAAGTATGGTGAGTTAGTAGAAAAGATTTTAAAAAAAAAGGTTTTATGATTATGGAATTTAGCTTAAATCAGGGAGTATATATACTTGATTTTCATAAAAATGATTTTAACAAAGCTTCTTTTAAAAGCTTAAAGAATTTAAGTAAAATATTTTATAAAGCTTTTAAAGATCATTTGGTAGAGTGAAAAAGCTGGAGCTGGCATTCGTCAACTTTTCAGTCATCGATAAAGCTTTATTTTCTTGTGCTATGGAGCAAAACGGTGTCTAAATTTTATAAGTATAAACATTAATCTTTGAGGCTGCCTCAAAAAGAAATTCAAGCATTGGTTTTGTTCAAGATAAACAAAACTTTAGAAAATGGTAAATAAACTTGCAGTGATAAAGGTCTAAGAAAGTTCCCCAGTTACGATACATAGTTTCTGTTTGGAATGTCTAAACAAAAATTGTACTATTTGTGAAATTCTTACTCAAGATTTGTCTTCCATCATTTGGTGTTCTAAGTTGGAGAATATGAATGGAAACAGAAACATTTTTTTATGTGACAGATGTATTAATATATTATATATAATCCTCTTAGTTATATATATATCAAATCAAGTAGACTTATCTCTGAAATACCGTTGAGTTGTTCTCATACTAAGAATGGCCACGTTACTCAAAGTTCTGAATTTTCTCGATATAATGCAGAGCATTCTTTAACTTACCTCTAATTCTTCAGGCTTCCACCTTCCACGTGACTTATTATGTATACATTAGGAAATTTTACATAAACTCTGTTTACATAATTCACTGTGAATTCTGATGTAATCATTAACTACTGCTGCATCTGTTTATGTTATTAGAAATTTTATACCATTTTTGGAGACCAAATTGATGTAGTCTGCCTTTAACATCCAGGAAGATTCAGTGGTGGGTTTGTTAACTCTATCAACATGGGCCTGGTCGGTTTGACCGACCACTTGACTTAAAGTCTTTATAGATTTGATATTACTAACTTTCAATATATTATGTATATTTTCATATAACTTGGCAGACTTTAAGTAAACATTATCAGTCTTTCACGTAAAAAAAATACAAATTTTTTAGTGAAGTATTTTTAATAAATTGAAAAAAAAGATTTATCCATGAATATATCGAGTCTTTTCTTGACTTGTCCAAGTGCTTTTCTTCATCTCAAAAATCTCAAATTTCATTTGTATAATCTATAAAACCTCCTAAATACATTTCAAACGTTTTTTTTTCAGTAAAACTTTATAGTTTATCTGTTATTTTCTCTACCATATCTCAAAACGGAATCGGTCAATTCAACCAATCTTGTAACCACCAAAAACAATCGAAATAAACCTAAATTACCCTTTTTTCTTTCTAGAATAACTTCAAATTGTAACATGAAACTCTGTTTATCCTAAATAGCCCTAAGTTTGTAACAGTATACATTTATTTATAAATACATTTTATTATTTTATCGCCCTTTGAACCATTTAACTACTATCTGCACCATTATAAGTTGTGAATCACTCAGGGAATGTGCAGCTCATGTTACACTATAAATTACATTACCCACGAGCTGCTCACATGTGTGCTTCATGAAACATTTTTATTATAATATTACTATTATTTATTTTACTGAATCTAATCTTAACAAACCTAAAAGGGCCACTTTTTTTACATTTTAGTGACTTTTGTAATTATACACAAAGAATAAATATGAAAAACAAGAAATAAAGTACTTAACCAATCTTTTTTTTTCTTTGCTGTTGGGTTTTGAAAAGAGTTAACCCTAATTTTTATACTATAGATAGAATTGCACTTAATTTTTATTTAATTAAATAA